ATGAAACTCTACAAGTCCCTGCCACCAAGACCCTCCATTGAAGAGGTTGAAGCAGCCCAGTCTGTGCTCAAAACAGTCAACGGTGAGGAGGAAAAGAAGCTTGAGGAGATATCAAAGCAAGAGAAGCCCGAAAATGTCCCTGAAGAGCTCTTCTCTGTGTTTCAGGAGGTGAAGAAAACCATGGTTTTGTTTCAGAGCCAGGACCAGAGGAAAGAGGCTGCTCATGTGGTTGAGATGGAGGGTTTGTTTCAGACCTTTGATGATCTTATCCAGACAGCTTCTGGGTTGGTTTCTGGTGATACCCAGGTTCAGAAACATGTTAATTTAGAGAACCCAGGTGAGAAAATTGGGAGAGAAACTGTGATCAGTGATGAAAGTTTGACGATGAAGAAGGAAGATAAGGAATCAGAGAGAGATGGGTTTAAGAGTGTGGTGAGAAGTGCTTCCACTTTGTCTTCAGGTTAGCATAAAATTTTTTAATTTAATTTGAGAATTGAAGTCTATGAAAACCATGAATTTATATAAGAATTATGTGTAAGAGAAATATTTGATGTGATGATTATACTTTGGATTTGAAAGACTACTAATTATGTACTTAGGTGGTATGATTTTTTTTCTGCTTTTTTTTTTTTTGGTTCTTCTGTGAGGAATGATAACTTTTTTTCCTTTCCTAAATCTTTATCCGCTATCACTTGGAGAAGAAGAATGTTGAAATTTTATTCATGAGGGTATAAAACCTTTGAATCAATACGATGTTCATGTTTTGATGAACCTCAAATAAATAAATAAAAGGTCTTATATTAGTCTTTTCTTGTTCTGTCTTCAAAGTCTCTATCCTATGAGAACTATTGAATGTTTTTATGAGCTATGTTTTCTGTTCTTCATTTTGTTTTCTTGTTCAACTATCATATTATGGCTGCTTAGATATTTGTATAGATTGTAAGGGCAAAAAGTTGTGTATCTTAAAAAAAGGAGATGGGTTTTATGGCTAGCTGAAAATTTCTTCAATGTTTTGATATTGTTATATGTGCAGTCGACTCTGAGAAAATGAGTCTAATGAAGGTGGCAGCTGTCATTGAAAACACTGCTAAAAGTGGTGCAGTAGTTCTTGATCTTAAAGGGAAGTTGGAAGATAGAGTGGAGTGGCTTCCTATATCGCTTGGGAAATTATCAGAAGTCACTGAACTGGACTTCTCTGAAAACCGGATCATGGCCCTTCCGCCCACGATGGGTGGCCTTAAAG